GTTAGCTGTTCAACCTGCTCAAACCTTCCAGTTCCCCTCCTACCCCGGGCAGCAACAATTTCTTTAAACTTCTTGTTCACAATATCCCAAGTGATTTCGCTAGGATCTTTTGCGAACTGCTTATCCATGAGCTTATCTTTCTTACTCATCATCTTCTCCCAGCCCCCATCCTTCCCAGATTGGTCATCGACATTTTCCTCATCCTCCTCATCAGACATTGCCATCTTTGAAGGGTCCTCCTCCACATCCGACTCTTCCTCCTCTTCCGAGTCCTCGTCAGCCTCTGGTTCTTCCTCACTTTCAGGGTGTTCCCTGTACTTATTAATCTGATCTTCATATTGTTTATTATTTTTCTTCAATTTCTGTTTCATTGCATTCAAAGCCTTGGCATTGCTACTGCTCATTTTCTTTTTAGCTTCCTTATTTGCCAAAGCCTGATTTAAGAAATCTTCCAGCATTACCAGAGCTTTAATGTAAAGGGTTGGAACCTTCTCAGACTCCATCACCCGCATGACTTTCTCAAGTTGCTTATTAATCTTATCAAAACTCTCTTGCAAGCTGACCCAATCATTAATCTTCATAGCATTCTTCATTTGATCAACAGTGGCTGACATCTCCTCAAAACGCTTGTCTTTGGCTGACCTGACCACACGCTTTTGATCATCAGATTCATCACTATCACTAGCAATTCCTCTAAGATACTTATTATCCCCAGTTGTTGGGGCAGTTGGCTCCCCAGGTACTCCATCCTCAACCTCATCTCCATAATCACTCTCCTCGTCAGACTCACTATCACCCTATAACCAAACCAGAAAAATATAACAAACCAATACAGCAAACCAAGTCAAACAGTCCTTCCCCTACAATATAACATAACAAAATAACTATTAGCAAAATATCAGCAAACCTGTGTCCAGAAACGCGATGCCATCTTCTCCTTCACGCTAAAGGCTACAAGCCAGAAAGCCTCAAGATCCTAAAACACAGACAATTTAAAAAACAAAACTAAACAAAAAATTACACCTCGGCAACAAATAGATTCATCAACAAATCACAACTAAAATAATCAAGAATCTAAGAAGATAAAATTACAAAATCCTGCTACAAGATTAGCCTAATATAACAACTTTAGATTTCATGGAATTTATTTATAAGAAAATAAAAATAAAGCAACAAAAATATAAAAAAGATGCTGACAAATCTATAATCTAGCTGGATAAAGAAATTAATAAGACTTTCAATTTTTCCATCACTCAAAACAACTAAACTATTCGGGGCCGATACGAAGGAAAACCCAGATTTTAAAAAATATTTAAAAAATTGCTAGGTTACTGATTCGATAGTGTTGTGCAGAAATTAATCTTATTTAGTTTTTAATTGACGGAGACAAAAGGTGAAAGACAGAGTACCTGATTTGCGAGTGAAGAGGAGTTAGGGTTAGGGTTTTTGCCTCTTTGCTGACAGCGGAGGGATTTTTCTTCGGGTTTCCAAAGCTATAGCTTTTATTTAGTACTGTGGCCGTTTCTTACAGTTCGCTTTCTGAGGCGGAAGCATTTCAGGGTCTAAAGAAAAGCCCAAGTTAAGAGACCCAATGTGAGCCCACCTGGATTTTAAGAAGCCCACATAAACTGGGTGCGAGCATCGGGCTTTTGTGTTTCTAAAAAAAGCAAAAAAACCCTCTAGGGGTCTCCTCCCGGACTTTGATCACATGCCTAGTATCTCGACTTAGATTTGGTTGGGGACTAGAAAGAATGTTTGCGCTTTGCTATAGGCTACTTTTGAAAATGCATGTTGTTTTTAATTATAAAAAAAGAATATTTTTTAAGAATATAAATAATAACAAATAGAATTAAAAAATATATGATTTGACTTTCAATCAATAAATAAAAAATAAATAAAAAACTTGTTTAAACTATCTCAAATTTTATATAAGAATTAAATTGTAAAATATAAAAAGACATTAATCTAACATAAAAATTATTTGAGTAACTCAAAATAAAAAAGTGACATGATAAAAAAAATGAATATAAAATTTTAATTTTTGAGTAAGTAGTGAAGTCTTAGTAATTATTAGTAAGTAAAGAGTAGCAAATACTATAAATATAAACCAAAAATTTATTCAAAAAAATATACACAAATAATGAGTTATTTCTTTAAAATAACTCATAATAATAAACAAAATATAAAAAATTAACAGGTCAAACAATTTTGAGCTAATAAGTGAGGCCTAACGCCTGACCCAATAAAGCAATACCCCACACACGGGCTTGCAACCCCAAGCTCTAGCGCAAACCTTTTTTTTTTAAATAGTTGAATGAGATAGATCATGCATCATCCTCCTCAAATACTTCAAAATAAAATAGTACATTGTTTGGGAAATCTAAAATTCTACCACTTAGCTTTCAATTCAATCATCTCTCCTAAAAAAGATATAATTAGAGACTAATTTAAATTCAAAAGAGTCAATCATTCAAGATAAAAGTTATAAAATCAAAGTGAAAATTATTAAAAAAATTTACTACTCTAATTCATAGTAAATAATGAGCGAATGCACAATATTTTTTGCCACAGTAAAAGGTTAATGCCTTTTAATTTCTATTATAATGTATTTTGCTAATATATTTAGTTTTTTTAAATGATTTTTTAAAAATAAAATATAGATTTAAGAAGAAAAGAAACTGTATTTCATTTATAAATCATAAAATAGAGTTTTAATTTCAAATTTAGGTACAAGAATATAATTTTTTTTTCATAAATTAGATAAATCACTCACCTGTTTATATATATATATATATATATATATATATATATGTCTCTATTCAAAATATATATAAATTCAATTCAATTAGATTGGATGATCATATATCCAATAATTTGAGTAAAATTACCATCTTTTCAAACTCTTAATAACATCTTTTTAGTTAAAAAAATACTGAAGCTCAAGTGTTTGAATTAAATCATATCTACATAAATAAAAAAGAAAATTTTGATTTTGTATTGCATACATAAAATCCTAGTAATTGATGCTATTTGAAGTGTTTATTTGATGTGGTTATAACTTTTATAATTATAATTTTAAAAAATAAATTTGAAAAAAATCTATAAACTATAAAGGATATAGAGAAGCTTTCCAAGTTGTACTCTCTTTGTTATAATATGTGTGCAATTTGTTCCTTTTATATTTTATATAGATTAGTTGAATTTTAATGGTATTATTAACAATAAAAATCAACCTCTAATGTATAATAAATAAAAACAGGTAAAATGTTATATGCAGTTGATGTAAAAATTTTGTTTTTACTAAAAATATTAGCTTCCTATTTTATCATTCAATTAGCATCAACACCTCATGTTTTTATTTATCATTTCATTTATTTTTAAATATGTGGCTAGGAAAAAAATATATCATACCATAAAAAAAATGCAACTAAAATATATTGAGGATATTTTTATGTTATTTATTATTATTGTTGTTGTTTAGCCTGATAAATTTTAATTGGTTATGCCTTTTGTTTTTACTTTTTTTTAGAATGAATTAGTTGAGCATTTGTTAAGATAAAATAAGTGCAATTACTAAATTTTAATTTTAATCTTTGTATTTTTTTCTCTTTACTACATAATTATTTAGTGAAGTCAATATAATGAATGTACTGACTATAAGTTATAAAAGTATCAAACTCAGGTATCAGAGACATGTACACCCATGCATTTTCTCTCCCTTTTTATTTTATTTTTATTTAAAAAATATATGTATAATTTTTATTGGATCTTCATAATTCTTTGATTAACTAATCATTTGCAACGGCCTCAGCATGAAGGTTTTTATTTATTTTTATTTTATTGTTTTTGTTAACATAAAAAATGTTGCATTTGGATTATTCAATCTCTATTTGGAGCTTCATTAACCCTATTAACTAAGAAAAAGTTAGCATCAGCTTTCATAAACTATTTCAAAAGCAAACCTATAACAACTAAAGAATTAAATTCCAAAATAATCTTGCAAAAACCTAAAGACTAAGTCAACTCTAGTTCTGTAATCACTAACTCTAGTTCTATAATCACTGCTCATTACTTAACACGAATTGAAATACAAATTTCTGTATTAATAGCAAAACTTCTAATCTAAGAGCCCATACAATAATATTTATATGTTCTTTTTTTGTTTGTTGTTATCTATAGTTTTTACCTATATTAATATTAAAATAATATTTTTTAATATCAACACATTAATTAAAAAAACACTTAAAACTTATTAATATGTAGCTTAAAAAAATTGAAAGTTTCCAAAAGCACAATTGGACCATAATGCCAAAAAATCCATAAGTATAACAACTAACATGTTTATCATGTCGCATCTATTTTTTTTTTATTATTTACTTGCATGTGAAAGAAGAAAATTTTGCTCAAACCTATCATCATAATTTGTTTGTGTGTTTGGTATTATGATATAATTTTTTTAAAAAAGTTTTTTTAATTGAAAATATATTATAATAATTTTTTAATTTTTTTAATTTTTTACTCTAGCATATCAAAATCTTAAAACCATATTTAAAAATGAATAATTTTGATATTCTTTTAGATGAAAAATAATTTGAAAAGCTTGTTATATTATAAAAACAAATAAGAAAAGGTTAATTTAATTCTGCAACGAAGTCAATTTAAAAGTAGGTTATAACACTAAAAATAAAAATAAAAAATTTAAATTTTCAAATTTTTTTCATTAATAATTCTGCACTAAAGTCAATATAATGTCGTGAATGCAAGTTATGGAAGTGTTAATCTAAAAATGTTTAGGTATAAAATAATTTCATTGAATAACTAGGGCATGAGAGAGGTACGTGCTCGCAGTTTCTCTATCTCTGTTTTTTTTCCTTTAACAAATATGTTTACAATTTCCAGTTGAATCTTGATTATCCCTTGATCAATGGATCATTTACAATAGCTGCAACATAAGGTTATTTATTTAATTATTATTGTTCTTGTTAACATTAAAAAAAAAATTCAGGCAAGGGATTTGCAAATATCACAAGGGCTTATTTTTAAGCACTTTATATACAATGATATTTCTATGTTAAATTTATTTCATAATCTTGGGTTCCTTTTCTCATCATGCTCGTAAACTCCTCATAGTTGATCTTTCCATCCTGCACAATATGTTTCCCCTTACCAAATCAGTTATACAAAAGCATAATACTATTAAACTCGGTTTAATTTAGCATGTTAATCCAAGATCTAACTTAGAATATGTTTTATAAAATAAAATTAGAGTTAATTCGGTGAGACATGATTAATATGATAGGTCAACTCATTAATAGTTAGAATTTTAAAAAAATCAAAATAATTTTGCTTTTACTTTTTTAAAACAAAGAACTTAAAACGGCACCCTTTCAAATTAATCTATCCAACTTGAGATTTAATTCTTGGGTTGGATCCCCAGGTTTAATGAATTTCAAAAGTACCACCATATGATAATAAAGAGGTTGAAAAGGAAATGAGAAAATTACTTTATCAGTATCAACATCTTCTATGACTTCATTTATTGTAGCATCATCACCCATCCCATGTTGAGCCATAGCTTGCCTTAGTTCATCTCTTGTGATGAACCTGTGAAATTAAACAAGTTTAATAAAGTTTGACATTCACAGGAAGATTTATGAATCAGATTTGTCTCATGAGAAAATTAAAACCCTAAGGAGAAATGTAGGAGCAAACTAACCCACTACCATCCTTGTCAAAATATTGGAAGGCCTTGTACAAGTTCTCTTCCATCTCAAGTTTATACCGATGCATTGTAGCTGTAATAAATTCGAGATATTCGATAGTCCCACTCTTATCAACATCAGCCTGTTAAAACAAAATTGGTCTCATCAATGCTTATTCTTGCAAACTTAAGTATGAATCTTTTTGCAATGATTGTTAGCAACTAACAAACTAATGCAATGATAAAAGTAAGGATATCTAGTGTTAGTTCTCACAGCATCCATCAACTGCTTCATTTCTACTTCATTAAGCTTAGATCCTAGCCTCGACAGTCCAGATTTGAGTTCTTCGTATGTGATAGTACCACTTTCATCAGTGTCCATGTTGTGGAACATCTGCTTTAAACCCTTGATTTCTTCCTCTGAAAGGTTCTCCGCTATTACCTTCAAGAAAGTAAATTTAAGATTAGGAAAGCAATGATAAGAGGATGAAAGCAATAAAAGACAAACAGAAGAATTGTTCTTGTTGATACTTAAATCTAAAAACTAGCATCATTCTAACAACTATATTTATTCCTTCATATGGTATAACATTGAAAATGAGTTATTTAAGAATTAATTTGAGGACAATTATACGGCTGTGATCATCCAGAAAATGCAGCTTTAAAGCATACCTTTAGTGCAAGCTTCTTTAACTTGTTCATTGCTCTGAATTGCTTCATCCGAATCAAGACAGCACTATCTATAGGTTTGCCAGATGCGTCACCATCCACCTTCATCCATGGATGTTCTGGATCAAGTATATGGTATGAATAGTATCATTACGCCACATAATTTTACGACATCTATAATTTGATAATGAAGAAAATTTCCCTAGCAGACGTAATTAGTTGTAAGATCAATCAATTGAAGAAGGATATCAGAGATCCAAGTCATAGACACCCATTGAATGAGAGGAAGGACTAATCAATTAAATTCTCATGGATGATTATGTACTTACCAAGTGCCTGGGCAGCGGTAATCCTTCTCTTAGGGTCCCTCGTTAACATTTTCCTAATAAGGTCCTTTGCAGAGGATGAAATGTGAGGCCATGGCGAGCTCTCCAAGTCAAGATTGCCTTCCAGTACTGCTTCAAATATGCCCTTCTCGGTCTCTATCATAAATTGAGTTCATTCGAACGTCAGTTGGAAAAACATTACACTACAAAAATATCTAAATAGAGAAAAATCCTAGTTTAAAAATTGTAAAAAAAAACAAACAGAATGGACTCACAAATCATTGTAAAGAAAACAAACAGAATGGATGTCATTCTTTAAACAAAAGAGTGAAAACAATGTCAAAGTGTTTCTGGTTCCTCAAAAAGAACATACCAGCCCAGAAAGGAGGTACTCCACTCAGAAGAATGTACAAAATAATCCCAGCACTCCATACATCAATCTCTTTTCCATAACTCCGTTTCAACACCTCTGGAGCAATATAGTATGCACTTCCAACAATGTCGCCATATACTTTTCCTGGAAAATTAGTTATGCAATGTTCAGTGATAATAGAAAATCATGACTCTTAGTATAATAACATCCTTGCATACTTTTCACTATAGTCTCTCTTTCTAGGATGTACTGTATTCTCTTTCCTTTTCCTATCTTGTGATTGAAAAACAATTAGACGTGGTCAACCTGTGGAGTCACTTTCTTAATTGACTTGGTCTTACTAATCCATTATGGCATCATTAAGAAATACTTAATACACCAATTTGAATATTTAGACTCAAATTTCACATTTCATTTAAAAGTATAAAAATATTAAATGATACATTAGAACAAGCCAATATCTTAGATTTAGTGCAAAAACTTGTTAATTTTTTCCAATTGCTAAACATGGTTCTAGGAGATTAAAATCATAAATTTAGTCTTCCAAATGGTTACAGAACATGTAAAAATATTTAGTTTCGACTTGGCAAGATCATTCAACCAAAAAAAAACTTGGAAAAATACAGTTGTGTTAAAATTAAACCACACAAGTTGGAGAATCCTTTATCTACTTTGAAAAAGAAAAAAAATCATAAAAAAAATAAAAATAAAAATAAAAGAACTAAATTTGTAAATAAAAATAAAAATTACTAACCCTCTTCAATAAAGACAGAGAGTCCAAAATCAGTAGCTTTAATCGGAGCTTTATCTTCTTTATTTGCAAGCAAGAAATTCTCGGGCTTCAAATCTCTATGCATGACCCCCATAAAATGACACACATGAACCACATTCACAATTTGCCTAATAATTACAGCAGCTTCCATTTCTGAATAACTCCCTCTAGCGATAATCCGATCAAAAAGCTCCCCACCAGAGCATAGTTCCATGACCACGTACAGATTTTGTGTATCTTCATAAGCACCCCTGAATTCAACAATATTCGGTTGGCCTGATAAGTGCTGCATTATCAAAATCTCTTTTTTAACATCCTCAATATCTTTTTTAGTCACAAGTTTCCCCCTTGAAATAGACTTGCACGCATACTTTCTTTGTGTTGCCTTCTCTGTACAAAGATAAGTTATACCGAACTGGCCTCTACCCAATTCTCTATGAAGATCGTAAATCTTGGTTATGTCAACGAATGGCTTACCAAGAATAGGGCCAATATTTGATGTTGAAGATGGAGTAAGAGCAGTTTGAGATTTGCCAAATGTTTCTGAAGGAGGAGCTGGTTTTGTGGCTGCTTGTGATGGTGGTGGATTATAATGTTCTTGGGCTCGTCTTTTAGGTGGTTTTGGTTGGTAGCCGTCCTCTTCCGAGGTAGAGGAAATATGGATATCATGAGAACGAAACTTGGAGAAACCGAGTCTAGAGAAACAAATTCCCATTGGCTTGGTAGGCAGAAACGGAAGACAACAGAGCAAAATTGTCTTATGGTGTTTTTGAGAATGGTTAAGTAGTAAATCTGCTGATATGGGGTTTGCATTTATTACAATAACAAGAGATCGGCAACTTTTTGTCAAGGAAACTCTGTTTCTTTTCTCTTTTTTTTGGTTCTTTGCTTTTGCCCTCGGGATAGTCCTGGGTATCATTATTTCTTTTCTTTATCTTTTGGCTTGAATATGCTTCTTCTTCTTCTTATTTTTTGTTGCAGTGGAAATAAAGAAAAGAAAAACGTTCGAATATGCATTTGCTTTGCCTTGTTGTGTGTAGAAAAAAAGGCGGAGGGGACTGCTTCTTGGCTCAAAACTTGAAAGCTATTTCTTTGACGTGTGAAATAAGGAAATTTCGCTCAAACCCACCTTATTTAAGAGAGGGAGAGGGAGAGAGAGACAGGTACGAGGAACAGAGGCTTTAACAATTTTGTGTTTGGTCCAGCTATAATTTCTTTGGGGATAACCAAAGAATGCCTTAATTCTTAGCATGTTCAAGAGCACTAGATTCTTATAAAAATGTTATGAAAATGCTAGGTTTTCCTGGAAGATATAAATTAAATAGTTACAAAGCAAAGTCTCGGTTTACACTCGTCGAATCTTCTTTTTCAAAAGATGTATAGTACTATAGTCGGTGGCGTATGCATCCATTTTGCATCTAACCCACTTGTATTTCAACAAGAACAGCCTTCACAAATTTCACTTGGAAGAGATAATATGACCTCTTTTGCTAGCTCATGATCAATTGAAGGTGCTGCTATTGTACTTGTAGCAATTAAAGAATGAGAATTAAATATATAATATTTATATCAAGAATTTAAATATTATATACCTGGTTAACCTGATTTTTTTTATAGAAGCCATCTTTCTGAAAGTCATTTACTAGTGAAATCATATACAGATAAGAAAATTTATATTTCTAATACAGAGAATACTTGTTAATCATTAATTCAAATCAATATTATGGGATTTATAAATCTCATTTTAAAATATTAAAATTAATAAACACATTTCTTTTTCTTTTTAAAGATCTATTTTCGTCGGTAAAGTTATTTTTAACAAAGTCGCCGACAAAATATTTCGTCTATGCAATATTATGGTGGTAGTGTAACTTTTGCTCTTCTTGCTTTGTTATCTTTCATAGTAGCTTAGCAATGTAGCAGTTATGTAAACAGTAATTTCTTTCGTCTACAATATATTACAAACGATTGGTCTTCCATTAAAGAAGATATATAACTATTACTTATATTTATATGAAGATTTTATTGGTTCTATGTGATCGTATAATATTACTCTTTCATCAATTTTGGGTAAAAATATAGAGCAAGTACTTGTAAATTAAGCACTAAGGTGGATGTGTGGATATACCATTAAAATTAAGAGGGCTACCTGGAATTCTGATGATAGTACTGCAATTGCATGCTTCTTTTCTTTGGTAAGTCATGGCATTAATACGTATTTTATTCATATAATTTCTTCAGTTTGTTTTGTGATCATTAACGTTGTGTTTATTTAGAGAGAGATTTTAGGTTTTTTAGAAAAATTCTTTAAAAAAAACCAGAAAACTGTACAAAATATATTTACGACAGACTATAAATTAAAAAAAATATTTCTTGAAAACATGCATTATTTAATTTAAAAAAAATTGAAAAACATCTAAGTTTTTTTAGATAAACTCTTCATTATAAAATAATATCTTATTTGGTTCCGTAATAAAAAAAAATTGTGATCATTTTTTTAATATTTTCAATTTAATAAAAAAGAAGGTCCTCATTTTCAATGTTGAATATTTAGTAAATATATTTCCTTAATTTTTCATCAAAAATTTATTTTAGAATTAATGAGAAAACTATATATGAAAACAAAAACACATTTTTTTTTAAATAAACATATTTGACCCGCCTGATACTTTTTAGTCATTTATTTTGGCGTTTTCAAATTTTAAAAACTTGCTTTAGTAAACATATTTTCTTAATTTTCATGAAAAAAATCATTTTAAAATAAAAAAAACAAATTTTTTTGAAAATAAACACGTTAATTTGTGTTTATTTTTTTTTTAAATAAATAAAATGGTAAGATTTGAACTCGTAATCACTTGGTTGTCAAAACTTTGATATTATGTTAAAGAACTAATTTAACCCCAAAACTTAAATTGTTAGGTGATATTTGAAAATAAAATTTATATTATTTTTTAACAATAATCAAGAAAAAAGATTGCAAAAACCATTTATTTAATGATAAATTAGACTAAGCCAATATCTTAGATTTAATGCAAAAACATGTCAAAGTGTCCCAACTGCTAGACATGGTACTAGGAGATTGAGATCCTAAATTAGTCTTCCTAATGAGTATAGTACATGTAAAAATATTTACTTTAGACTTGGCAAAATCTAGCTGTGTTAAAATTAAACCACACAAGTTGGAGAATCTTTTATCTACTTTGAAAAATAAAAAAGAAACCACACAAGTTTGTACATGATTGGTGAAAGCAGACTTTGACCCTGAAGTAGGGGAATTCGTCAATGGAATGACCTTGACCAGAGTGCTCTGTAGAAACACTGTCGTCAATGTTCAAACCATACTCTTCAACATGGATTTTGTGTGCTTTTACATGGCAGCGGCTGTATTATAGGCCACTTCTTTTACGTTAGTTATTCATCAAATTGCATGATTGTGTTCTATCTTTGCAGGCTATTTCTCCCTTTGAAATCTGATAGATTTGTTTTCCGTCAGAAAATCTATTTGGATTCGGACTTGTTACTTTGACATGATACATCACATCAGCAGTTGAAGATCCCACACAAGTGCCCATCATCTTGTGCTGCTGCTGCTTCTGCATTTAATTTGAGTTTCTGCCACGGCTTCTGCAATTGCCTGCAAGCTATTCTGTGCAATCTTGACATTCGAATTTGCACTAGGTTAATTAGTGCCAAACTTTCTTGGTTTTATGCTGTCAAGTTCTTTCCTTCTTTCTTTCTTTTTAAAATATTGGTTTTTATACGTTCTAGTACATGGATAGTGATCAACCGAGGTGTAGTACTATCTGATGAAGAGTGTTTAAGGGTAATTTATAGATTATCTCTGGCTTGCCATGAAAAACATATCCCCTGGTCAGCTCCAAATCAACGACACCAAAATCTTTTAATTAATCAAAGAACAAGAACCAGCACTCCATTTCTTCCCATTCCATTAGGGGTGAATAACTACTTATAAGAGAATATTTCAAAGATTTTTCGTTAAAAAATCACTGCCAAAAAGCCTACCAACAAGTTTTGGATGTATTGAAATCATTGAAAAGAAGAGGAAAGGCAGGGCCATGGCATTTTTTCTTTTATTTTTTAACTTTTCGCTATACATTTATCATTTCCTATGCTGGTTTTCTTTCCATTTCACAGTAAAAAAGAAGTAACTTACAAAGTGGTCTTTCTGAATTTATAGCTGGCACGACAGTGGGAGCCTATTGTGGAGCAATTATTGGCCTAAACTCCATGAGTGGCTTGCTTCATGGAGCCAAAGTTGGAGCCATCATGGGGTGCATTCTTTCCATTGAAGTTTTTAGAAAATCATTTGTTCTTTGGGATTCTGATGATTGGGCAATTGGGTTCTTCATTCATTTCGTAAGTGATCTTGCTCCTCGCTTCACTAGTCACTTCATGGATTCAAGTGTTGAATTAATGCCCTGACCTTGTCTTTTAACTTCAGGTTGAAACAGATTCAAACATCCTGAATGAAAGAATATAAACGCTTAGTGCACAGCACAGTTTGCAGCAACGGAAAATCAATGATGAAAAATCCAAATAAGAGATTAACAGGCAAAAACATAGTGGACACCTCATGGAATTGACCTACCTGCTCAATCTGCCTTCAGGTTTTTGGCTTTTCAGCTTTAAAAATCTCCCCAGTTTGATTAATAATTGTGTTAATTAGCACTCATCCTGTGTAAAATGATTGTCAGGACTTCCAAAAGGGGGAAATGGCTTGTAGCTTGCCACCGTGCCGTCACATTTTCCATCCAAGTTGTATTGGTCAGTGGTTTATTGGACACAGTTCTTGCCTGTTGAGCAGGAAAACGCCTTTTATGCTTGAAAAAGTGGATTGTACTTGAAAAAAAAAATGTTTACCTCATGTGTCCCCACTCTCAAATCAATGTGGGATTGTTTATACATGCTCCAAATTTATTTGTCAGGAGATCATCTTCCAAGTTTAGATTCGCGTACTAATAAGCAAGGATAATGTGCATGCATTTCATTTACTTTTGGCAGGCATATAAACTTGATGCAGTGAGTTTTTGTTTCCTAAGAACCAATTTCCTTTTGCAGCTGAAGAACGCAAGAAGGAGAGTAGGAAAATTAAGCAAGGTTTCATAGCTATTAATAATTATACATTTGCCAATTAAATAGATCAACTGGGCATTAGTATCCATCCTCTTTCGATAGGTTTTAAGTTCGAACCTCTACTTGAAACCATTATCCATCTATACGTATGTGTGTACATACATACATACGTGTGTGTGAGTGTGTGTGTGTGCTCTGCAAGGATCGTGCTTATATGGGTGTGAAATGTGCTTATTTGGGAAGAACTCCCCTCAATCTTCTAGTTAATTCCTATTTTTGTTATAATTCGAAGGACTGTGGTTATAAGGGCTTGGAATGGGACGATTTAGGAGAGGTTGCAAGTTGTAACTAGAGGGTTCATTTAGAAGATGACGTCCAGCAAAGACTACTACAATTTCTTCATCACACTTTAGGGGCACGCATATTGGCAGTACTGCATTAACGAGAGCTTTGGAGAGTCGAATTGGGAGTAATTGAGATGGCTTGGAGTGCTAAATGTAGCGAACTAATGCTGGAGATTGATTTCACAGGCTGTGTTCAATATAATAGAGCACTGGCACTGCTACCCATTTGCTATATCATAATTGAGAGCAGCTTAATGCAAGAAGCTACTCAAACAACGAAGTGGAGGGCTTCCAAAGACCTTTTACAAATCCGAAGAGGACAGAAATGAGAACAGAAATAATAAGTACAAGGAAAATCTAACACATGATGAGCTAAAGCAATTCTAACAAACCAAGTA